AATATAAACAAAGGATCTGCTCAACAGAGCCATATATTATAAGTTCTTATGAAAAAGTCACTGTCCAATTTATTTGATCATTTCTTCATTAAGTTCTCTTAAAATGATGGAATATTCCACCCATTGATTCATAACAGGGTGTGCAACAGCAGTTGATACACATCGTGTACATTCGTTGGCAAATTCCGCAATTAATCTCCACCACTTTGATACACGGTGTAAGCATCCAGATATGGAAAAAGGCGATGTACGCAAACTCGCAACCCCACTCCATGGCGATACAGCAACCACAGCAAAAGGTCATCAATTTATAACAGAGGCCTTTCCAAAGCTCAAAGCAGGTGTTGGAGAGTTTGAAGACACAGTCGATACTGTGGGTACCATCAGGTTCTCCGATGACGTCATTGAAGAGAAGTGTCTGAAAACAAAACAAAAAATATAGAATTTTCAGTCAAAAGGAAGGGAAATGTTGAAATTTTATACAATTGTTTTCACTTTACACAAGCACGTAGTAAAAGCGCGTAGTATTAAGGGGGGGGGGGGGGTCAAAACAAAATTTGCAGGTTTTTACGATAGTCAAGATGTTTTCAAAATTGAAGAGATGCAACTTTTTGACTGGTTGTCTATAATCAACAAATTAGCATATTTTACGACGTCATTTCGGCGAGTTTAACCACGGTTGACGAGTGAAGGACGAGATAACCAATGGGAATCCGACGATGTACATATATATTAAAAATTATAACATGGTTCATGTCAAAAGTTGGAGAACTTAGCCCCCCACCCCTTTCCGCACAAGATATTATTTTCAAGTTTGGACAATTCTTCTTCTTTTTTTTAATTTCAGTTAATTTGTAAATTATTCTTCCCTCTTTCAAGAACGAATGCCTTCGACATGGATGTAGATCGTCTAAAATTATTCGATATTGCATTTCAATTTTTGTGCTATTTTACTTATATTTTATAGACATTTTTGTATAACATTTATATCCAAAAAAAAATTAGAAAGTGTTTAAAGGAAGAGTGAAAAGTGTAACTTGCGAGTGAAAATAGATATCTCTTCTCGTATGTAAAATTGTAGGAAAGGGTGCAAAATAAAATTATATTTGCATATAATACATGTATGTATTCATGTCCAAACTTAAAAAAAAAAATATATGAAAAAACTTACCCCAAGATGGGCATTTAGACCATTAGGGTCTCTGTTAACAAGATCAATAACTCCAGTTTTATCAGCCATGTTTGACAGTGATTCGATGCGTTCTCTATGAGTCGAATAAGCTCCAAGGGCCCCTAGGGACCTTATATAAGGGCTCACACCCAACTGTGTCTGTTGTCCACGAAACAAAACAAACACTGAATTATTAATCAAGTCCTGGTAGGAGGGGATATGTCCAAACGTGTTTCATAATTAACTGACCGGTATAATTAGCACTGTTAATTAATATGAAGTTTTTCCGCGGAGATAAAAGCGACAATAATTAAAAAAATATATATATAATTTTTAATAGATATAAGCTTTTTTTTAAGTGGGCAACCAATCAAATCTGCATTCATTTTTTCTTATTCCACTGAAACAATGAGAAAATCCAAACTTTATGTGGAAGAAATAGATAACATTATAAACATGGAGTTGATCTATTATTATATATATCTTTTCTCTCTCTCTCTCTCTCTCTCTCTCTCTCTCTCTCTCTCTTTGTGGAAATTAACTACAAACTGCAATGTGCTGTAACGTCAGATTCATGCACATACATACAAATCTGCAATAAAACTAACCAAAGAAATAAAGGTAATCTAAAGACAAGGCTTTTCCTTCAATGCGTATAGATACATGTATATGTATAATCTCTTCTTTTTTTTTAATCCACAAATAACCTTTTTTTCAGCCTGTGGGCAAACTTATTTATTTATTTACTTATTTATTTATTTCTATATACGAATATGACCGAAGCAAAGAAAATATCAAAATTGTATATGTATTGTGAAAAAAGGTCACCAGTATAACTGTAATTCAAACAAATCATTTCCATTTCTTACTGTTCTTGTAAAATTTATTTTCATAAAAATGAAAATGGATTTTTTTTTCTTTCGGAAAAGTTAATCTTATAATTAAAAGTTGTGACGACTTAGATCATGTATACATATGACTAGAGAACTTGAATAATTTGCATGCCGGATCCGGATACAATGTACATTTGAAAGAAGTTGTGTAGTTTAGTTGCTTTTAATTCATTAATTAAAAATAAATTATTTTTATTGATTAGGTTCATTAAATCAATACATCAAAAAAAAAAAAAACCAAAAAAAAAAAAAAACAAAAAACAAAAAAAACAAGCGATCAATAACATTTTCTTCCCCAGCTTTCTAATAACACTTGAGACTTTCAGGATATTTAGCAATTAAAGAAAGGGGGCACATATTTTCCTGCATGCATGTAATTTTATTTCGAGGTCTTGAGTATATGATCATCTAAATTTCATTAAATAAAGTAATCTTTATTATAGAGACAAAAACTCTCGATGTAGGCAATATTTAGCATAAAGTGTGCTGTTCAGGTAATCATTTTTCCCTTATAAAGTTCTTCTGTTCAGGTTACGAAGGAATAAATATTTTTAAGGTGACAACGGGTGGCATTATTGTTCATCCGATTAGGCAGCGTAAGACCCCTAGGTTATATACAAAACCGTAACACTGGTGTCTATTCGACTGACTGCTAATTAAGCCCTTTGTATATGTAACAATTTAAAATAATTAATTGTGTGTAAGATTTCATATTCGATTTAAAAACATCATATTACATATTAATATGCTGAGAACCTTAAAATATCTATATTTATTGATATTTCTAAATACAGAGAGGCATATGAAATATAGATGCATATAATAGAGGAAATATGTGACCAAAAAATAGGTATAAATATTTTGCTAAATATATGCTATATTGCTAAATATTTTATCTTTGTTTACAAGTGAGGACGATAGACAGATAACGCTTAAATTTGACCTAAATTTTAAGACATTAAAAAAAATGATTATATGTTGACACTGATCTTTAAAAATGAAATTGTGATGAAAAAATATATAACTACAAAATAAAATAAGACAAAATAAATAAATTAATTAATAAGTAAATAAATAAAATGATGTTTAGAGACGAATCAAAATAATCATTTAGAAACTAATACATATATGCAAGTAAAACTCTCAAAATTAAAAAGAAATAGTGACTTTTTCAAGTCAGACTTTTATAATTTATAGTTTTCTTTCTAGCATGACCGATTTTCTTCTGATCTGTTGACATGTTACTAAGGCGAGGTTTCTTAGTTTGTTACTACCTATTCAGGATTTGAACAAAAAAAAGATGAATAATGAATTCATTTCTTGGATGAAATATATGCCTACATCGGTGTAAAAACAGAACATCTCATTAATTTATAATATCTTATATCCATATTGATTTTATTAGAATTTACAAAACACCAGTTCTCAATTCGTCGGCTCCGTACAACTGAACAATCTCCGATAGATGATCGGGTATCACAGAAAAAGAATCAATATACGGTTTTGTGTTGGACATGTACACAAGTGTTTTGAATGATTAACTATATTATTATATACGTTCTACGTTGGTTCAACGACCGATCACGACTGGTAAAATTCCATGTCAATTTCATGCCAATATTCAGATGAACTTTTATCGGATTTTTGCATTTTGAATGTCGTTGTTATATATGAATATTTAAGATACTTTATATGCTTATTTCAGTCAATTTATCTTTTGCTTTTTTTTTTCTATTCATTAGATTATATGAACATTCAGCATGCACATGTAAAAATATCGGGGTTTTTTTGTATCATGAATTTGAAAACAAACGTTCAGTTATACATCAGAAAAAAATATTAAGATCTCCGTTCCTCTTTTCACATCGAACGTTCTGTGCTAAAGAATTAAGTTTATATTACATGAAGAAATCGAGACAGCATTTAAGGTCATACAATATCCATTGTACAGTAAAACACGTTTATAGCGAATATGGACATTGCCAATTCCTGCATAAAACGACCTTCTGTATTTTTCAGCCATTAAAATAATAATAATTTTAAAAAACGGAATACTGTTATTTACTGGATATAACGAATACATGTAACATGTATGATTAAAGGAATTTTAGTCGTTCATGGTCTTTGTTTTTGGCATCCAGCTTCAACAAAGATTTTACAAAGGGAGACTACAGCACCGGATTTTTTTTTTTTATAGATCTGGAACTTTCATTTCCCTCTTTTTTTTTTCTCTCTGCTTTTTTTCCAATATGGGAGTCATATACACATCAAAAGAACTTGATTTTTTTTTTTAAATAAATACAATTGGATAGATAATTGACTGCAATTTTTGAAAGGACAAATTTTATAGTCATGCTGCCTGTACTTCAAAGAAGAAAAAAATTGAATCAAACTTCAATATGTTCGTATTAAATCATGTTCTGACGTAATCACGTTCTGACAAAATTAAAAAAAAAATGAAATGTTAGTAGTCATTCAAAAAAATAAATGATACAAAAATGTTCTACAGAGGATGATTCATAAAGAGTAAATAAAAAATAATAGTTACGGGGAGCACAACTTCTTGTAAATGTTAAAAGATGAGAAATAAATATAAAGACTTAATTGAAAAAGAATATTAATCAAATAATAAATATATGTTTACATGATTTAATAAAACGATTATAGATCATTTATATATTTAGAACAGAATTGTGCTTTAAATCTAGTACACATATATCTCTTTACGAAATTTTAAGCACATGTACAATTATGGTGGGATTGAAATGTGGAATGTCTTGGTCGAACCAATTGATGTTATTTTTAAATTTCTAAACCACGTACAAAACTAGAAATAGTTCATCCATTTTCCAAATAAAATGAGCATATTCAGCTACATGTAATTTAGACTTGAGAAAGTCTTAAAAAATATTCACACGAGAAAGCAAACGCTTAAATTAGTGTAAAAAAATTTATTTGCTGGGCAATATCACAGAAATAAGACATTAGTGGGAAATCCTGATTATAAATAAACATCAACTCCAGTCAGAAACAAGGACCAAAAAATATTAGATCACAGAAATGTTCTTAACCTTTATAAAAATGTTCAAGTTCGAATCCTTGGAGTTAACTAGCGCACCTGCTAGGTCCGTTTAAAATGGTGGAATATACCTCCAAAAGCCTCACAGACAGGGGTCATGCAGCAGTTGACACACATTGAATACAGTCGCTGGCAGACTCCGCAATTTATTTCCAGAACCTTGAACATGGGGGTGATGTACCAAATATGCCAGAAAGCGATGTAGGCGAACTCACAACCCCACTCCGCAGCAATACAACAGCCGCATAACAATGTCATTATTTTGTAGCAGCAACCCTTCCAGCACTCAAAGCACGTGTGCGATAGCTTCCAAACGCAGTCGATACTGTGAGTACCATCCGGCTCGCCGATTACATCATTAAAAAGGAGGGTCTGAAAAAGATTAAGTTAGTGTTCAAAGAGGTATAGCGCCCTTTCCCTAGTATGTATAAATGGAAAATACTTATTACTACATGTATAAATAGATTTACTTGGCGCATTGGATAGAAACCAACTTTATGACAAAAAAAATATGCGGACTGCTTCTACATGTATATTATAGAAAATATTTCTCGGTAAACTAATGCTCTGATTCGGACTACAAATTTACCAGAAACACTTTTTAAACTCTATATGAAACATTTCTCTTTTATTTCTTCATTTCCTGCCTCTCTGCGTATTTGCGTATACAGTGTATCACTATAATCAAATCAAAATATTTTTTCATAATTTTAATATTTTTAAATTGTTTGAAATTTTACAAAAGCATGTATCCAAATTTTTTTATTGACTGTTTTCAAGATTTTTGTTTTCATAAAAGGTTTAGATCACTATTCGTTTCGGGAACTACTGTTGCACCTTAACTACATGCATGATTCCACATTTTCTCGTATGTGTCTCTTCTTTCATAAATAGTAGAAAACCCCATGTTATTTTAAGACAAGGTAACGCTGAATTCAAATATATATGTGGTAAGCAGACAGGTGGGACATATTTATTTCTGATGTAAAAAAAAAATAAATCAAATATATACTAATAACTATTATACAAAAATATTTTGACTTTGGGTGGATTGAACTGAAGACCCCCAAACACAAAAACAGTTAGTTCACTGGGCTACACACTTTATTAAGAAAGTCTGTGTCTTTTGTCGTAGAACGCAAGGGGGGGGGGGTCAAGGTGAATTTTGGGAAATTGCCCCCCCCCCTCCTCTTGGTCAGTTCAGGTTTTTTTGCTTGTCAGATTTTTTTTGGGGGGGGGGGGGGAAAGCCCCCCCCCCACTTTTGAAACCGTTGCTACGGGCCTGTTTTGTGTATATATCATAATGGCCACGTGTTAGCGTCTTGAAAAATAGGATAACTGAAAAATAGATCTATAATCAATTTTTGATATAAAGACCACCTTAAACAAAAAAGATTTTAAAATAACAGTATACTATGATATAAAAAAATATAACCACCCAGTCGATCCTATAACACCTGTGTGTCAATTATCACCATCAATGCTCAGTATTTCTCATGCTTTTTAACAATTATAGCGATCTTGCACTTGAAGTTGCAAAAATGAGTAAGTGTAAGTAGGTCTCACGGTGATAGGTTTGACTAATACACTAATTTCACTTAAAATACATCTCTCTGTCAACTAAAATGTTGTATAAATCACATGAATAGTATATCCAGGAACTGTTGTTCACATCACAACTTGGTCACGTTCGGGAGCATTATTTTGTGTTACTTTAACAAAACATCTTGTTTTATAAATGTACATGTATCAGTTTAAATATCGAGAGAGATACGTTGCTAATTACCTCTTACATAATATGTAAAGTCCTACATGAAGTTAACTTTTTCAGACAGTATTACTTGTACATGTACATAAAATAAAACAAAACATATAGGTATAATTGCATAGGAACTCTAAGTGGAAACCTTAAAGATTTATCAAGTTATTCTATTACCGCCATTGCAGATATGCAAATCTAAGCAAAGTTTGTCACATTTGTCGAAACGTTGTTATAGTTCTGTACGAGTTGCAAATAAACTATAGTCTGTCCCACGACCGGAACGTCACTACTTTTTGCAAGATATCTCAAAATATATAAATACCTTGGCTTTCAACCTAGGTTCTATCGGTAGATTGATTTTTTTTAATAATACTAACTAGCCTATACATACCTACGCATAGGTCCTACTTTCTTAAGAATTTGCTCTCTCTCTCTCCCCCCCCCCCCCCCCACACGACATAATTACGCATCAGGGATTAGGATGTAGACTATTGATTTTAAAGATATACTGGATTAAAAATTCAAATGACATCCTCCAAAATGGCCAAATGGAATGTAAGCTTTCCTGTTACGGACAATAATCTCCGCACTTCATCCTGCCTTAATCAAACCTTGCAGCCCCTCAAGCTAAATCTGCAGAAATTTCATGGACTTTAAAGAATTGTATAAGACTTTCTAACCCTACTAGGTGACCAGAAGAATATATACTGTAGGTTTCACATTTTAAATAGGTCCAAGAGAACATAATTCGAAAGTTTTCCATTTGTATCAGACTCGTACCTACTTTTATATACTTAGTTAAAAAAAAAGTTATATGAATTCAAGAGCTCGCATCCAAAGGCAGTGAAAGGTTTTGATAATATGTTCGATACTATATATTATTTAAAATTTCCTAGTAAAAAAAAGAATATTATAACTGATATATGGATTCCAGATAAAAAGGTCAAAATTCTGGTCATGGCAATGATTGTTATTGACAACCTAAATACCTGAAATACCATCTGAATCGAAATAACAAAAAATGTTTTCTTTGAATAAAAATGTAGCCACAAAAACCTGTACGGCGTATGAATATCCCATAATTATCAAAAGAAAAAGACAACTAAAAGAAGGCCAATCACAGTTCCTCTTTGTCTTTTCTGAGAAGGGACTGTAATCAGAATATTAAGAAAGTTTTGAGATCTGTTTTCATGGTGTTCACATTTTATGATCTCTAGGACTGTTATTAATACTGCCTACCTTTATTTGAAATTCCCAATATTTATTTGGAGATGCGTGCAACTTGGAGACCTTCAAATACCCTAAACCTCTTTTTCTTTCGAAGAGATTTTTTTTTTGTTTTTTTTTGTTTTTTTGTTTTTTTTTTTTTTTGTTTTTTTTTTGTTTTTTTTTTTTTTTGTTTATTGATAATATTTAGGGTGGGTCAAGGGATTTAATAAAAATTTTCAAGTTTGGTCCCATACATGTATTTCTGAAAGTTCTAGAATGGTTTTAAAAAGCATTTTCAATTATTTCATGCAGATTGCTGTAGCAGTCGTACATATACATGTAATTAACTAATGATGTACAGACGCCTGTGACAAGCAAACTCATAATTGAATAAAAATTTAGTTTTACACCAAACATTAAGTGCTTGGATTCATTTGTCGGATTATTAGATTTCTATATATAGTTTTAAAAGATGTTAAAGCAATAAATAATGTTCTGTGGCAATGTATTTTTCTTATAGATCAAATTACTTGCTTATTTTTTTCTCACGGTTTTTGTAATACAATCAATATCACAAAAATTATTAGCTTGCATTAAATTTTGTTCAGAGTAAATCGAACAAGTTGAAGTTGACAGATCAAAACTGCGAATTTTAACCAAAATTAAGAAGTAGACTTATTAAATGAACTTACCCCTAGATGACTGTTCAGGTTATTGGGATCTCTATTCGTCATATCCATATCCGCCATTTGTATCTCTTTTTTTTTTTTTTTAAATAGTGTCCCAAGAAACGATTTATGTACTAGATGTATTTACAATAGTTAACAAACCACTCACAAAGACTAGTGAGAAGAATGCGATGTGTTTAAGATCCTTTCCCAAACACAAATACTGGGAAACCGAAGAAAACTAATAGAATATTCACAAAAGCAGCCTAGCTACCAAGGAAAAGTCTTTGAACTTCAACATAAAAAACAAGCGGATTGATTTTTATTTCTATCAATGATACTGTTTTCAGTCATTACTTGGAAACTGTTGCCAAAACAAAACAAAAATCCTTCATCCTTTAGATGACGCAGTGTTGCTTCAAGCTCAACTGTACCTTTCTCTGCAGATCGTCGGAATGGTAAAGCGTTCCTTTGAAAGTAGAGTAAACGGTTGAATGCATTATTGAATGTGTTCTTATTATCCCAGTACCTAAAAAATGACAATAATTGGCTGAAATTACACCTGACGTCTGTTAGGCAGTTCTGCAAGATTATAATCTTCAGTATTGATCCTTTTTTTCAGCTTTACTGATGACTTTGTCTGATTTACAATATTTTCATGCATTATATTTCTTTTCAAACTGAATTTAGGTGTTGATAAATTAAAACAATACGGAATCAAAACGAAAACCTAATGCCTCCGATATCATTTTACATCGTTTGCAACTTATGCATAATTTATATATCCCACCTTGATATAACGTTGATGTAAATTAGACCAATATTTAAAACAATTATCGTGATACTTAGTATCGAGATTACTTCGAGTTATCTAACTTACTGCTCTTTTGCGATAAAGTCAAGAAACCTCTTAATCTCGCGTCATTTTCGGGACATAACCTATTGTTTACGCTAGTGACAATTGAATGATTCGAACAATAATTATGCCAAAAGTATAATGTTTTGCCAATGTTTGCACTACAGAAAGTAAATCATCATTCGGAATGTTTAGACTTCCAAAAGTAACGTTTATCAGAGAGAGTCCGTTAGGTTAAATAAGTATAATCGCGATATCAAGTACTAGTATTAACGGGTTCACCGAGACAATACATGTCCTTTGCTAAGAGTTAAGCTAGGGAAGAGGGGGTGGGGATGGGTTGGTCTGGTGTTCTACCTATAAAAAATCGACCCCCATTGAAAAATGACCCCAATCCCAGCAGAGTAATATAAAGTATAAAAGAAGTGATTGATGCCAAGGTTGGGTCTCAACTTTTCATTCTCTTGCGTTTTTTGACGAATACTGGACGAACACGCGATTAAAATGTAATATAACAGCATTATATGTGTTTCTATCTATTAGACCTATTGTGTTCTCAGCACACACTACAAACGAACAACAGATTCATAACTGTGATTATTTGCTAAAACTTTAATTATGTTGTCCAGAATGGAAGTCAAGACGACATATTATTCTCACCAGACCCATTACTTAGACAACCTTAATGAAACTTTTCAGAAATGACGATCAGCAACTCTAGATGTGCATTAGACATTTTTCTAATTTTCAATTCGACCGCCGCTGCTATGGAAATAGATAAAACAATAACAAAAAAAAAAAAAAAAAAAAAAAAAAAAAAAAAAAAAAACAAATTTTCTCCACAAATGTTCTCGCAGATGGCTTGGACCATCTGAATGAAACTTCAAAGAAATAATTATCAGTAACACTAGTTGTGTTATCTAAATTTATTTTTTTTAAATGACGTCCATTGTCTTGAAAACGGTTTGGGAACTTTTTTTCACAACTAAATTAAACTAATGAGTTATATAACATGTATAACTAGAAATTTTTCTTTTCTTTTCTTTTTTTTTTTTTTTTTATTAATTTTAGATATTTAACGCATTGTAGACACTTAAAGCCAAATAACAAGTGACAAACGGGATGATTTCGGAATCGGTTTTTCCATCGCCAACTTCTTACATGTATTTACGTAGTAATATCCCAATATCACCTACATATGGCGTTTATGTCTCCCAACGTATTCGTTTTTTTCTATAAAACATGCTCTGTACACTATCATCTCTTAGAATGAGACAGGATATTAACAAATAAGTTGATGTTATATAACAGGGCTTTTAAAAGTCCAAATCAAAGTAAACTTTTCGAAAATTCATGGGTCACTATATAATGACCTTGTTAGCAAATATATTTAGTGATTTCAAAATCTTGTTATCTTTAACGAATTGACAGAAGTCCACGAAAGCCATTACTTTTACAAATACGGAAATGAAGGCAATAGTATGGTACCGTTAAAGCCAGGAATAAATATAGAATTGTTTAGACGAATTACCATGATAAGTATTTGTGCTGACAAAAAAGATAATAGTTCTGATAAATCTGTTCTTCGTTCGGACGAACAAGATATGTTTGTGGACAAATTTGTTCTTCAGACGAATTAAACATACGTAGGTTAAAGGAAATTAAAGGTAAATAAAATTGTTTTCAGAATTGTTTGGACGAACTGGATATTTGCTTGGAAAACTTACTGAAGTACTGAAGTATTTGTTCAAACATAATTGATGTTTCTTCTTTGAACAAGATTTATCCCTCCTCTGATAAAGGACAACATCCAGAAAATCAGAGATGGTACATAGAGAATGATACTGTACATACCCTTTTTCCATATCACATCTTTAAAAATTGTATCAACCTGAAACACCAATATCAGCCAGAGGGCCGAAACCCTGAGGGCTGATATTGGTTGAGGCTGATACAGGATGTGATATGGAAAAGAGTATTTGTGCTTTGTTTGTGATGAAAACTTGCATATTAATAAACTGGAACATGAATTTAATGAAAATAATAGTTTCATATATTTTATCAATGTTTGTCAGTAATTATCAATGTTGTCCACGAACTTTACGGACAACCCTCGTATGTTTTATTATGTTTATTTCATATTTACTAATGAAATGCAGCACACATCTACATCAGCAAATGCAAAATAAATAAGCTCTGACTAGCTTAAATTATTATATCAAAGAACTATAATTTTAAGTTGAAAGAATAATAACGAAAGAATGGTTATTATTACAAGTATTTTTTTTTGTTGGTAGTAGTATAAGAAGCCTGGAGGGCCGGGTCAACTGAGTGCACTTTTGTCCCCCCAGATCCTGGATGGCCGGGTCAACTGAGTACACTTTTTTTTGGCCCCAGATGACCGGTTCAATCTAGTATAGACACTGGAAAAACCCAAGTAAAAAAAAAAGGGGGTCTACGTTTGATCTACGTTTTGTGCTGACTCAGGTATAGGCAATACACACAATCTTGGCATCGATTCAAGTATACTATTGTGACGTCATGTGTGTCATTCACACAGAGCTCTATTTTCTGAAAACGGAAAAAACAATAACACAGTCAAAAAGTGTGTAAGATGTTTTATTCAAGTAATGTACATCATATTTACTTTTTCTTCTGGAGTTTCAGGGTCTTCTCCGTCTGGGTAGTACCAGGAAGTTTCCTCTTGTTGTTAATCTGCTTTTGATCCTGACTAGTCTCTATTTTCTTTTCTAGATTTCCAATCTCATTCATTATCACTCCTCTAAACACACGAATCTCAGTAATCATGTCTTCTTTAAACTCACAAATAGTCTGTTGAAGTATCTCCATTACATTGGTCATTTGATCTAAGATATCACATATCAAACTTCTTTCATCTCCTTCAATACTATCCTGTGTCTCTGGTATGAGTGGAGGTGAATTCATGGACTTTTCCTCTGCCATATTTTTACGTCTGTCTGGTAACAAATGCCCACTAAGACTGATCCTAAAATTTCCAGCTCTGCTTTATATACCCTTTTGTACGTACTGTGTACGTCTCAATACTTAGTCTTGGATCAGCGAACTACCTAGGTATTATGACGTCATACACTCTATAAATACAGCCTTTCTCCGACTTTCAGCTCATTTTGTTGTCAGATCTATCAAGATGAATTTTGATAGTGCCTTGAAACAATTGTTACATGCACAACAACTTATGAGATGGAAAAAAAGGGAGAAAGAATTAGAAAGAATTATTTCTCGACAGAGAACTAGAGAATTAGTTCTCAGGAAAAAAAATGCGAGATTAATGGAAAGATTAAAGAGAGCCAAAGCCAACCGAGCTCAACACTTACAAGTTTTAAGGAATCTACCTGAAGAAGAACTACCCTCTCCGTCTTCATCACCACCTCATTCACCACCACCACCACCGAAGCCAAAGACCATTTCCCAGTATTACCAAGTGAGACTCAATCAAGCTAAGCATTCCAGAAAATTTAAAGCTAAAGAAGATGTGTACAGTGTGAATTTTAAAGAATTTCCAGAGGAGGAAAACAGAGGCTTTGTTCGGCGATTATTTAGAGACATGCTACAGAATGTCAAATATCAAATGCAGTGTAACCCTAACGATTATGTACGCCTGAACATTCGCCACCCTTCTCTGGATTCCGACATTTGGTACGAGTTTACTCAATGTAAACATTTAAACGAGGACGTCATTTTAAATAAAATGGAAGCCGTGCAACAATCTAAGAAAGATTTTAAACTGGGAGACGGGTCTATGGAATTCGACATGTTTCACGTCAAATATCCAGAAGGCAGTGGTGGACAGAATACCAAACACCTGATGGTCAACAAGGAGAGTTTTAAAAAGAATAAACGATGCATCGTTCAGATCGACAATCCTTGGGATGAATTTTGTTTAGCTCGAGCCATTGTAGTCACCCGGTTACACAGTCAAAAACCGGAAAATCCAGAGAGTTTAGTTGAATGGGAAAAATTATGGAAACGCATGAGATTAGGAGATGTAAGATCTAATGACCAGAAAAACGAAGCTATAGCTCTCATGGAACAAGCCGGGTGTGATATTCATCAGCCTTGTGGACCCGAAGAATGGGGAAAATTACAACAGGTGTTAGCCCCTCGCTATCGACTGAAAATATTTCAGTTCAAGTCCAACTCCTCTAAACTCAGTTTAGAGCCCATTTATAAAGGCTGCGGAGATGGAACTTGTTTAAACCTTTTGTTAGATGAGCATCATTACGATGCCATTTTGTCTATGCCAGGTGTGACAGGCAATCAATACTATTGTGATCATTGCGATGTGGGGTACAGGAACATTACAGACCATCGTACCAAGTGTCCTTACCGCTGTTCATTTTGTTTAACGGACACTCCCTGCCCTCCAGACGGGACCCACATTCAATGTTATCAATGCCAGGGATTTTTTCAGAGCAGAACTTGCTACGAAAACCATTTACGGCCTCACAGTAAGAATACGGCCACAACAGTATGCAGTTTAATGGGACGATGCGACCATTGTGAGAAATGGATGCCCAAACGATTACTCCCTCATCATCATTGCGGAGGACAGAAACAATGTAAGATCTGTAAGAAAACTGTAGACACGGATCATCAGTGCTACGTTCAACTGAAGCCT